GGTGGCGAAAGGGGCCCCTCGCTGCACGGAGGGGCGGGGGGAGGGGCGGGGCGGAGCGCTGGGGAGGGGGCTCGTAAAGTGGTGGGGGGCGCTCCCCGGAGGAAGCGAGAAAAGAAAAACTGAAGAAGAAACGAGACGCCAAAAACCCCGGTCCGGCGCGTGAGGCTTCTTGGAAAGAGGCCGATTTGCATGGGGGGGGGGGGGGGGCGCGCCCCGGCCCCGAGCCGCTCGAACGGAAGAAAATGGGCAGCCGGGCGCTCGCGGGGCTGACACCGCGCGCCCCACGGCCCCTGCGCACGCAGCGCCGGGCCGGGGTCTCCCAGGGGACCCCCGACAGGCCCGGGCCGGGGCCCTCTGCGAACTCCCGGGAGGGCTGGGGTGGGGGGTCTCGGGGACCGGCCCCAGCCCCGCGTCCCCGGCGCACACCCGACACCCGGGAGCGCACGCGAAATAAAAGCGCGGGCGCAGCCCCCCGCGCGCGCACGGGGCCCGTTTCCTTCCGCCGAGCGCGGGGCGCGCGCCCCCGCGCCCCCCGATCGCCGCCGCACGCCTCTGCGCCCGGGGCCGGGGGTGAGCTCCCCCGGAGGGGCGCCGGGACGACCTCGCCCACCTGGGCCGCCCACCCCACCCCACCCCCCCGCCGCCCCGGTCCTGGACCCCTGCCCGCGCCTGCGCCCAACGTGGGCACCCTCGGCGGCACCCCGCGCGCGCGGCGCCCACCCGGGCCCGGACCGCCCCGCGCCGCGCGCCCACTCACCGCGCGCCGGCCGCGCCCGCGTCTCCGCCGCTGCGCCCGCCCGGCCCGGGCCTCGCGCCGCCCCTCCCCCACCGGCGCGCCGCCCCGCAGACAAATCACCGGGTGACAAATCGCTCTCAGATGCAAATACCTCGCCGGTGATTCAGCGCCGCGGCCGGGACGCGGGAGGGCTCTCGCCAGGCCCCCTCCCCCGGCCCCGCACGCCCGCTCGCCCTCCGAGCTCGGCCGGACCGCGCGCGGCCGGCCCGAGGGGGTCAGGAAAGCGGGCGGCGCGGACGCCAATTTTCAGGTCGCGGCCCCTTTAAATGATAATAAATAATGAAAGGGAAGGGGAACAGCGCGCGGACGCCCCGCCTCCCGCCCAGGGACCGTGGGCAAAGTGCGCGGCGCGGCGCGGAGCGCAGAGGGTGCGGGCCGGGCCGGGAGGCCGGCGGAGGGGCGGGGGTGGGGCCTGGGCGCGCGCGCTCCGGGGCGGGGGCGGGGAGGGACCCGGGGAGGGACCCGGGCCAGAGACCCTCTCCCCTCCTCGCGCGCGCCGAAGGCGGTGGAGCGCTCGACTCAGAATTTCTCCCCTGCCCCTGAGGCTGAGCAGCCGGACCGGTGGCACTTGGCCCCCCGGCGGCCTCGTTGTCCAAGTCCGTGAAATGGGTTTTGAGGACCCGACGAGGGCCGGGACGGGGCGGAGCGGGGGCCCCGCGGGGTGTGCGAGCGGCTGCGGGGCTGAGGCGCGACCCCCGCCCGGACCCCGGCCCTCCCGCCTCTGCGGCCGGTCCATTTCGCAGATCGGCAAACAGAGGCGCGGCGCTGGGTGCGGGGTCCGGAGCGCTGCGCTCCAGGCGAGACTGAGCCAGGGTGCGCCCTCTCCCCCCCCGGACTCGGAGCCCGGCGGCCCTCCCTGCCCTGCCTCCGGCGGCGCCGCCCCCTCCCACTGCCACCCCCCTCCCCGGGATTCCGACACCCCCGGGAGTGGGTGCCCCAGAGCGGCCCCGCACCCCCGGCCTTCCAGCCTCCACGCGGCCCCAGCAGTCGGCACCCGGGGGACAGGTGCGGGAGCCCCCGACCCCCCTCCGCTTTTTGTCCGCGCGGTGGGCGTGGCTCCGGCAGCACGACCCCGCCCCTCGGCGGGCGGGGAGTGGGTGGGGGGCGCAGAGCCCCGCTCCCGGGGGGGTCCGGGGTCCCGGGGAGGGAGCAGATACCTGTCACAGACCGCTGGGCTGCGGCTCCGGGCGTGGGGGCCTCGACCCTCCCCGCACACCTGGGCCCCTCCAAGACCCCCGCCCCGACCTCGCCGCGTCCCAGCGGCAGGAAGTGGGAGCCCCGGCGTGGACAGCACCCCGCCTCCTCGTGCCCCAGGGCCTGAGGCTCCCCGTGCACACCGGGCTCCGTCCACACCGGGGCTCTCTGACCACACCGGGCCCCGTCCACACCGGGGCTCCCCGTCTACACCGAGGCTCCCTGTCTACACCGGGCTCCGTCCACACCGGGCTCTCTGACCACACCAGGCTCTGCCCACACCGGGCTCCGTCCACACCGGGGCTCCCCGTCTACACCGAGGCTCCCTGACCACACCGGGCTCTGTCCACACCGGGACTCCCCGTCTACACCGAGGCTCCCTGACCACACCGGGCTCTGTCCACACTGGGCTCCGTCCACACCGGGCTCTCTGACCACACCGGGCTCTGTCCACACCGGGGCTCCGTCCACACACCGGGGCTCTCTGACCACACCGGGCTCCGTCCACACCGGGGCTCCCCGTCTACACCGAGGCTCCCCGTGCACACCGAGGCTCCCTGACCACACCGGGCTCCGTCCACACCGGGGCTCTCTGACCACACCGGGGCTCTCTGACCACACCGGGGCTCCCTGTCTACACCGGGCTCCGTCCACACCGGGCTCCCTGTCCACACCGGGGCTCTCTGACCACACCGGGGCTCCCTGTCTACACCGGGCTCCGTCCACACCGGGCTCTGACCACACCGGGCTCCGTCCACACCGGGGCTCCCCGTCTACACCGAGGCTCCCTGACCACACTGGGCTCTGTCCACACCGGGCTCCGTCCACACCGGGGCTCCCCGTGCACACCAGGCTCCGTCCACACCAGGCTCCGTCCACACCGGGGCTCTCTGACCACACCAGGGCTCTGTCCACACCGGGGCTCCCCATGCACACCGGGCTGTGTCCACACCGGGGCTCTCTGACCACACCGGGGCTCTGACCACACCGGGCTCCGTCCACACCGGGCTCCCTGTCTACACCGAGGCTCCCTGACCACACTGGGCTGTGTCCACACCGGGGCTCTCGGCCCACACAGGGGCTCCGTCCACACCGGGGCTGCGTCCACACCGGGGCTCCCCATTCACACAAGGACTCTGTTCACACCGGGGCTCCCTGACCACATCGGGACTCTCGGTCCACACCGGGGCTGCGTCCCCAGCTCGGCCGCGGACCCACACGGAGACATCGCTTTCATTTCTTCCGAAAGAAGGGATGCCGGCCGCAACCGCGGCAAACACGCGCGGTCAGCACCCTGCGCGGCGTGGACTCGGGACGGGGTCGCGGGGCGTGGACTCGGGACGGGGCCACCCAGGCGCACCTGCACGCCCGCGGAGCCCCGGGGACTGCACCGCGCAGCCGGGCACCGAGGAGCGGCTTCCCCGCGGGCCCCGGGGACGCCCCCAGCCCCAGCCGCGCCGGGCCGCGAGGGGCGCGGGGACCCTCCGCGGGGCGCGCGCGCCCCCTGCCGGGCGGCTGCGAAACCACACGCGGACGGACGGGGCCGACGGGGTGGGGCCTGGGACGAAGCCCCGCCCACCAGGCCGCAGCCCCGCAGGTGTCCGGCAGGGGGCGCGCTGGCGCCAGAACGCGAATTTCGCTGGGATCCGGACCGCTGGAGAAGGGAGCTTCCGGGGAGCCACGCGTGGCTGCTCCCGGCACGGGAATATCCCACACAGGCGCTTGCACTGTGCGTTATACGTAAAGCATTCGACTAAAGCTGCTCCTTGGGTATCTGCGGCTCCAGCGACTCCAAGTCCTGCCCAACCCACCAACCCCCCCCAGGGGGCACCTGCCCCTGCCCTGCCCTCCCACGCCAGGACCCACCCAGACACCTCTATGGCCCAGCCGAGGCCCCTCCCAGGCCTGGTCCTGGTGGCTCCAGAGTCCTCAGGCCGCCTGGGAAGGCCCACACCCCTTGCCCGGAGCCCGGCCAGCCCCCCATCTGCAGACTGACCGCCCGGGGCCCTGGCACCGGCGTGCACCCCCTCCCCTGGGCTCCTCCCCACCCCAGCTCAGTTCCTGTTTCCTGGATCACCTCCTCCAGAGAACCCCCACCCTACCCGCGCCTGGGGCAGGCTGCCCGGTGTGCTGGGGTCACTTTGCCTCTCCACTCGCTGCCCCGCCCCCCAGGGTCGGCCAGAGCGCTCCTCACCCGGATGCCTCGCCAGGGCTTTTACTTTAGTTTTGAAGGTGTTGCTTATTCGCGAGCGAGGCTGAGTGACACAGACGGCCGGCGCCAGAGTCCCTGGCCCCTGGCTCACTCCCGGAGCTCCATCCGGGCCCGCAGGGCTTGAGCCGGCACTGCTGCCCGCAGGTCTGCCTGGGGTGTCCGGCGGGAAGCCGGAGCCGGAGCCGGAGCCGGCTGAGTCGCTCCGTGTGTGCACGCGTGTGCTCCGTGTGTGCACGCGTGTGCACGCGTGTGCATGTGCACGTGTGTGCGTGCAGTTCTCTGCTCCCCAGCGGCGCTGCTCAGCTGTGCTCAGTCCCAGGACTCCGTCACCGCGAGAGGCCACAGGGACACTCGCGTCTCCCACGTGGCTCTGGGCCCCACCCCTCCCACTCAGCTCGGGGCTTCTTGAACCACACCCGGGGCTGGCAGCGGCCGGCCGGGGCTGCGGTGTGGAGTGGGGGGGTCAGGAGGGGAGTGACACCAAGTGTGGGGCAGGGACTGGTGGGGGGCACCTCCAGGGGCTGCGGCTGGCCGCCAGACCTGAACAGACGAACTCCGATCCCCAGATCCGACCCCCAGATGTGGCCTCGAAGTCCCAAGAACACATCGGCACGGGCTTCCCGGTCAAGGCCACGTGGGCCGTCAGAGCCTCCTGGCCGAGCCCTGCGAGGTCAGGGCCTGGGCTGCTGACCCCTCGCCCGGGCGCCCTGCACCCCACGGGGGGGGCACTCAGCGGCTGCCACCGTCTTCCTCTGCACACGCTCCAGGCAGGGGTCCCTGGTGTCACCCACTCTAGGATGTGCTCATTCAAAACTGATTTTAATCAGAGAGAGAGAGAGATCTTCATCTGCTGGTTCACTCCCCAAATGGCCGGGGCGGAGCCGGGCACCCCCTCGGGGCTCCCACGTGGGTGGCACTGACGTGGGACACACGTGGCCTCGGGGTAGCCCCAAAGCCCGCTGGGAGTTCACAGTCCGCTGCCTCTGGGAGTGGAGGGACCTCAGCGTCGCGGTCCCGCGTGGGAGAAAAGCTGTGCACGCGGCCGGGAGCGCATCGTGGGTTTCAGCGAATGCGGACCCAGCAGCGCCAAGGGCAAGCGGGGGGGGGGTCGGCGCTCGGGGCAGCACAGGGGCAGCTGCGGGGCAGTGCGGACCGCAAGGAGCGCGCTCAGCGCGGGGCGGGCGGCTCCCCCGGAGCGCGCGGCCGCGGAGCCCTGGCGGGGTCTGGGGGTGCGGGCGCGCGCGGGCGCGGCGCGCAGGGGCACGCGCGGCGGAAGGCGCGTCGGAACTGCGAGCCCAGGAAGGCGTAGAGCAGCGGGTTGAGCGCCGAGTTGCTGTAGGACAGGCCGTGCGCGCACGTCTTGAGCGCGTAGGCGGCGTAGCTGCGCGGGTGCCAGGCGCCGGCGGGGCCCAGCGCCTGCAGCACCAGGAACAGCTGGATGGGGCCCCAGCAGGCCGCGAAGAGCAGGACCACGGCCGCCACCAGCCTGGAGACCCTGGCCCGCACGGCCCCGGCGCGCGCCGCCAGCAGGTGCCCCTGCGGGCGCGGGAGCGGGCGTCAGAAGAAGCGCGGGGCCGCCGCCCCTCCCCGCACCCGCGAAGCCGCGCACCTGCAAGCCGCCGTCGGCGGGCGCTGGGCGCAGGGCGGCCCGGCCCAGGTGGCGCAGCATGGCCCCGTAGCAGGCGCAGGTGGCCAGCAGCGGCAGCAGGTACAGCGCCAGGAGGTTGAAGAGCGCGAAGGCGCGCTCCAGCGCGCGGCTGGGGAAGGCTTCGCTGCAGTAGGTGTGCGGCCCAGGCGAGAGGCGGTGCAGGGCGAGCACCGGCGCTGACACGGCCGCCGAGCCTGCGCCGGGGCCCGCGTGAGCTCCGCGCCCGCCCGGGGCTTCGCGGAGCCGGGTCCGGCCCATGGCCCGGACCTCTGGCCCGGTCTGAGGCTCCGCGCCCATTGTCCCGAACGCCCGGCTCGCCGCCTCCCCCCCCCCCGCCACGTGCAGCCGCGCCCACCACTCACCCAGCCAGATCCCCAGGCTGACGCCAAGCGCCAGGCGCGGCGTGCGGCGGTGCAGGGCGCGCAGCGGGAACACCGTCACGTACCAGCGGTCCACGCTCATGGCTGTCAGCGTGGCGCACGTGGCCTGCACCGAGACCTGGAAAAGCCGGGAGCCCCCCTGCCGTCCCCCCTGCCGGGACCCCACCTGTCGCTCCACGCAGGCAGGCGGAGGGGTGTCCGGCGGCTACGGAGGCAAGGGGCCAGAGGAGCGCGGGAGGGAGCGAGGGGAGGGAGCCTCTGGGGGTTGCCTGGTACCCCGGGCCCGACCCTGGGAGAGGCGGGGCACCCTGGGCAGCTGCAGACCCCCAGTCGCCTGAGACCCCCTCTCCTGCGCTGAGGCCAGGCTCTGCCCCGCCCCCACATTGCGGCCCCGCCCACGCGCCCGGTCCTGCCCCATCAGGCTCTTCCCAGTGCTCCCCGGCCCAACCCACCCACAGATTTCTCCCAGAGCACCCAGGCCCCGCCCACAGTGGGCCACTCCCAGCCCCGCCCACACAGGCTCCTCCCAGAGCACCCAGCGCCCCACCCACACCAGGCTCCTTCCAGCGCTCCGCCCACAACAGGCTCCTCCCGGCTCCGCCCCTCCCCACAAGCTCTTCCCAGAGCGCCAGGCCCCGCCTACAGCGAGCACCCCGCCCACACCAGGCTCCACCTAGCTCGCCCCAACCCCACACATCAGGCTCTTCCCAGCCTCGTTCCTCCCCAAGGCTCCTCCCAGATCATCCAAGCTCCGCCCACAAGGCTCCGCCCAACCAGGCCCCGCCCACAAGGCTCGGCCCCGCCCGCGCACCTGCTGGATGTAGTTGACGAACTTGCACATGAAGGCGCCCAGCACCCAGGCGGGCAGCGGGTAGAGCAGGGCGGTGAAGGGCACGCAGCACAGCAGGAAGGTCACGTCGGTGGCCGCCAGGTTGGCTGCGGGGGCGGACGGACGCTCGAGGCCCCGCCCCGTCACCCCCGCCCTGGCCCAGGAGCGGGCTCGCGCCCCCCCCCACCCCACCCCCGCACGGATCTGCAGGAGCCCCGCACGCAGGTCCAAAAGGGCTCGGCGCTCCTGGCGCCTTGGGCGGGATCGCCGCCGCTCCGCGAGGGGCAGCGCCCGGCCCGGCCACGCACGCGCCTTGACCCTTGCGCAGAGCCAGCCCCAGGCCCCCGGGGAGGGGCGCTTGGAGACGCCCCCTCCCCGGGGGCGCAGGACGCGGCACCACCGCCCAGCGCCCTCACCGATGTAGAAGTTGGTCACGGTCCGCATCCGCTTCTGGCGGCAGACCACGTAGATGACCAGCGAGTTCCCGGCCAGGCCCAGCAGCATGAGTGCCCCGAACAGGAGCGGCACCAGCCAGGCGTCCACCGGCCACGCAGCCGGCGCTGCGCCCTGCGAGGCGTTGGCGCCGCAGCCAGGACAGCCCGATGCGTTGGCCGGCGCCCACCAGGACGCGGGGGAACTCGACGCCGCCTCGGCGCCCATGGCCTCGCCGTCCGCCTGCTCCTGTGGGCTGCAGGCCGTCGGTCCCGGAGCACCGCAGAGCCGCACTTTTATGTCCCGCCACCCCCTCCCTCTCCCTGGCCTCCTGCTGCCTCTGCGGCCGCTGGCCAATCCCTGCCCGCGCCCCCCGCACCTGCACCACAGCCTTCCTCTCTTCTCACCGCCCGCCCGGGGTGCAGGCGCAGGTGGGGACCAGCGGGAGGCCCTGCGGGGGGCCGGGGGTTGCCAAGGGCAACCAGGAGAGGGGGCCGTGGGGCGCCACTCCGCAGGACCCTGGGAGTGGGGACGTCAGGGCAGGCGAGGGTGTCCTGTGCCTGGTGGATGCTGCCCGGCCGTGAGTGACCCTGCAGGTGGGGACAGCAGCGCTGCAGCCAGGAGCTCCACGCGGGCTCCCACGTGGGCAGCAGGGGGCCCAGCGCCTGGGCCCCCACCTGCTGCGGCCGCCTCCCAGGGTGTACCCGGGCAGGAGGCTGGGCCAGGGAGCAGAGCCGGACTCGGACCCAGGCCAGGCTGTGTCTGCGGCTGCTGTGCACGTCCACCTCCTTCCATCCCTAAAGGTCATTCCTGACCAGGAGGGAGGGGCTGGAAGAGGGGTGACGACCTCCCAGGGACAGGCCCTGGGGTGACCAGGCCCTGGACAAGGGCCAGGCACCGGCTCCTGCTGTCCATCTGCCCCAGCCCCCAAGGTGTCACAGCTGGGTCCCAACCCCTCTGTCCCCTGTGTGAGCCGAGCTGTGCGGTCCTCGCCCAGGGGTTCCCGCCACGCCACGTGGGACCTAGCAGGATGGGGGCTGAAGGGCTGGGACGCCAGGTTCCACGGCGGGTCCGCCGCTGGCCGCCCCTGCCCACGGGCCCTCCGTGGGTCACCGCTGCTCCGCATGCGCCTGGTCGGTGGCTGAAAGAAGAAGCGGGGGCTGCCCTGTGCGGTTTTGGGGGTGAGCGACCCAGGGCAGGCGTCCCACTCCCCGCCGCGGGGCCGCCCCGCGCCGGCCCGCAGGCCCCGCCCCGGCCCGCCTCTGGCGGCCGTCACTTCCTGCCGGGCCGGGGAAGGCCCTGCCGGGCGGCGGCGACAACAGCAGCGACGGCGACCGAGCCATGGTCGCCCCCGGGAACCCGGACGGCGGCCCGAAGGCGGCGACGGCGGCGGGGGGCGCCGCGAGCGGACGGCGGACGCTGTGAGCGCGCGCGGGCGGACCCCTCCCCTCCGCGGGTACCCCAGGCCCCGCTCCGCCCCTGCTGCGTGCGAGCCCTTGGCCCCCAGACCTGGCGGGGGGCGGCTTCACTGGCACCTGGGCACTCACCTGGCCCCCGTGCCTCCCCCCTTGTCCCGCACACCCGTGTTTCCGGCGCGGGGGCACCTGTCCCCGCCTGGACCTCCCACCGGGCCCCCGCGCGAGCGTGCGGCTGCGGGTCTGGGGGCTCCACCGGTGGCCGCCGCGCACCTGGGCAGCCAGCGCCTTGCACCTGCAGGCGAGCCAGGCCTCTGCTTGGCGCGAGGGCCCCCCACCGCGACCGCTTCCGGGGTGGACTGGGCTCTTTGGTTTTCTCTGGGTTAGCACCGAGGTGGGGGCGGGGACCTAAGCACCCGCGGACGCGAACCTCGGCCGTGGGCGCTCGCCGGGGGCTGTGAGGGCGCGCACCGCGGGGTGAGCCCTTGGCCGGTTATTCTGCCCTCCGGGCCTGGGTTTCCTGTGATGGCCACATCGCCCCGAGTGGCCGCCGGTCCTTTAATTGGTAGTTTCCCTAACGGCCTTGGAGGCCCAGCCGTCTGTTCCTGGTTGTGGTCATGACGGCACCGGGCCGGGCTGCACCTTCCAGGGGGCCGCTGACCACCCAGATGGGCCCCTGGGGCCGCCTGCGGTGGGCAGCAGCGGGGCTGGACTCCAGCCCTGCTGGCCACCGCGGGGCCTCCTCGGGGCACTCACCTGCCAGCTGCCCGGCCCTCCCCCCCCCCCCGGCCCAGGGGCGGGGACTGCTGGGCACCCCCGCCGGCCCTGTCCTGGGCTGAGTCACGTCCACCCTGGCTTCCTGCTCGGGGACTTGGGAGGAGCCGGGCAGTGGCAGAGGTGTGTTTCCGCCCTGGGGAAGTGGGTTCTTATCTTGAGACCCTCAGGGCGTAGGAGTGGGGGCACCCGAGAGGCCTCTTCTCCCACTGCCCAGCCTGGCCGGTGAGAGAGAGAGAGAGAGAGAGAGAGAGAGAGAGAGGTCTTCCATCCGCTGGTTCACTCCCCAGATGCCACAATGCCCAGGGCTGGGCCAGGCTGAAGCCAGGAGCCAGGAGCTCCATCCGGGCCTCCCACGTGGGTGCCGGGGCCCAACCACTTGGGCCATCGTCCACTGCTCTCCCAGGAGCACTAGCAGGGAGCTGGGTGGAAGTGGAGCAGCCGGGACTCGAACCGGTGCCCGTGTGGGACGCTGGCACCAGGTGGTGGCTTTTCCCACTGTGTCACAGCTTGGCCCAGCAATTGGGCAGGGAGGGGTGGGCAGTGGGGGCACAGGCGTGCAGAGGCCCCGGGTGGCACCAGTGGAGACACCTGGTTCCCACCTCGGTGGGAAGGAAGTGGGAAACGCTGACCTGCCGCTGCTGGGCCCAGTGGAACGGTGATGGTCAGGGTCTGGAAGTGACTTTGGGGTTCCCTGGGCAGAGCAGAACAGAGAGGGGTGAATCCCAGGCTCGCGGCTTCAAGGCACAGGGGACAGGGTGAGCAGAGGAGAAACGGGGTTCAGTGAGCCCCCGCCTGGAAGCCGTTTTGTATCTTTGCCACGTCATCTGTTTGGTTTTTCTGCACCAGGACGCACGTGGCGTTGCCGTCCCGCAGGGTGGCTGACGCGCCCTGGTCCGGCGCACAGCGTTGCTGGTTCAGCCAGGCGCTGGGCCCTTCCCGGGGTGCTGGGCGGGAGCACCCCTGCCCGGGCCGCGGCGTGGGTCCCTCTCCTGAGCCAGCAGGGGTGTTTCTTGGCTCCGCCCACTCCCACCAGGCGGCCCTGGAGCAGGGCAGGAGCCGTGGGGGCTTTGGGGGAAGCCGGGGGCCACGTTCACGTCGACTCTGCCCCTGGCGTGTGGGGTGCAGGGCAGAGCCCGTTCCTAGGCTCCTGGGCTTCCTCCTCTGGGGTGTGGGGGTTCCGGGGCTCCCGACAGCCCCTGGAATGTGGCCACTGTTATCAGCCCGGAGCAGCTGCCGGGGCGGAGCCTGGGGAGGCCGTGGTGAATCCGAGGTCTGGGCTGGGGTGCCCTGGGTGGCAGCTCCTGGTGGAGTCTCACGGCGCCCATCCCAGCTCCTGGGGCGACGGCGCAGACGGCGGCACACAAGCCCGTCACGGGGTAAAGGCTCAGTCCAGGGACTTTGAGCAGAAGCTGTGTGGCCCGGGGTTGGAGGTGAGCTCCCCGTCAGCAGAGGAAACCAAGCAGGCGGCGAGCCGGTGGGGCTCCCAGGGACTGCTGGGAGACTCTCTCTGGAGAGGAGGCGGAGGTCGCGGCAGGGAGTGACGCGCGGGCAGGGCTGGGATTCCAGCACCCTGGGCAGCCCAGTGAGGACCGGGCCTCCGGCTCCCTCGGCTGTGAGGGTTCCAGGCTGCCCCGTGCCCCTGCCTGGGTGGCCGCTGTTGGTCCTTGTGTGTGGCACGCTTACCTGCCCGGCAGATTCTCCGTAGATTTTTGCCTAAACAGCATCCCAGGCCACCTCCCGAGGGCCCCGGGGGGCCACAGCCTGCGTGGGTTTTGTCTGTTGGACTTAGAGCGAGAGACAGGTCCCATCCACCGGTGTGCTCCCCCCACGGCCACGACGGCCAGCGCCGGGCCGGGGGCTCCATCCAGGGCTCTGGTGTGGGTGGCAGGTGCACAGCCCTTGAACCACCACTGCTGCCCCCCGGGGTGCGCATCAAGAGGCAGGACTCAAACCCGGCACCCGGATATGGCTACGGCCTGTTTGCTTTTTGCTGGGGGTGGGGGGCACCCGTGGGTCTCGAGGGGCCAGGATTTTGCGCCTGTTCCTCGCGTGTGTCTGGGCTGGGATGTGGGCACCTGCCGTGGGGGGTGTGTTGGGGAAGGGGGCTCAGCAGAGGCTTGGACAGAGCCAGGGGGCCCACGCCAGCCCTGGGGGCACCCGAGGAACCCCGCGCCAGGTGGGAGCAGCCCTGGTCCCCCAGACCCCACCGTGGGCTGCGGAGGTGCGGGCCTCTGAGCCTGGTGGGATCGTCCCCCGCGTGTCGTGGTCTCTGTCCCAGGCTGATGAGAGTCCAGCCGCGGCCCCCTCCCCGGCCCGCTCCCGGGTGCCTGCTGGGCCCTGGGCACCACCTGCCCGCCCACCGTGGGCCCCAGCGGGAGGCTTGGCCGGCCAGCTGAGCCTCCCTCCTTAATGCCTTCTGCCTGGAGGGGGCCGGATTAGCTCGGAGGGGGTCTCTGCAGCCTCTCCCGCCCTGGCTCCTGGGGGGGGGCACTTGGCCATCCCCTTGAGCTTGTGGGGGTGGGGCTGTCCTGGGTTGCCACTGCTGGTTGGAACCAGATTTCCTGCTTCCCCAGAGCAGGCTGGTGCCGGGCCGGCTGCGGCGCCCTCTGGGGCGGGCACAGGGGCCGGTCTCCCTCCCCCGGGCCTCAGTCTACCAGCCTGTCACCAGGGTTGCGCCAGAGCCCCGGGGTGGGACGGGCACAGCGCGGGAGGTTTTAAGGGTCCAGGGCTCCACTCGCGGGAGGAGTGAGCCTTGTTGCCGGGGCTCTGCGGGGCCCCTGGCCCGTCTTGGTCCTGAAGCCCACCCCCTCCCCGCCTGCAGACCCCTGCCCGGCTGCCTGCCCACGCTGGCCAGCGCCCAGGTGAAGAGGCTGTCTGCCTCCAGGCGGAAACAGCACTTCATCAACCAGGCCGTGCGGAACTCGGACCTCGTGCCCAAGGCCAAGGGGCGCAAGAGCCTCCAACGGCTGGAGAACAGTGAGTGGGGGTGGGGAGACCCCGGGGGGGATGGGAAGACCCCAGGGCCTGGGGGAGACCCCGGGGGGATGGGGAGACCCCGGGGGATGGGGAGACCCCAGGGGATGGGGAGACCCCGGGGGATGGGGGAGACCCCGGGGGATGGGAGAGACCCTGGGGGGGCAGGGGAGACCCCGGGGGATGGGGAGACCCGGGGGGATGGGGAGACCCCGGGGGATGGGGAGACCCCAGGGGATGGGGAGACCCCGGGGGATGGGGGAGACCCCGGGGGATGGGAGAGACCCTGGGGGGGCAGGGGAGACCCCGGGGGATGGGGAGACCCGGGGGGATGGGGAGACCCCGGGGGATGGGAGAGACCCTGGAGGGCCAGGGGAGACCCCGGGGGGATGGGAGAGACCCTGGAGGGCCAGGGGAGACCCCGGGGGGATGGGGGAGTCCCCAGGGGGATGGGAGAGACCCTGGGGGGGGCAGGGGAGACCCCGGGGCGATGGGGGAGACCCCACGAGGATGGGGAGACCCCTGGGGTCTGCAGTATGGGCTCCGGGTTCTGGGGTGGGGGCTTCATGGGATGCGTAGGGGGAGGAGGGGGAGTTTGCGCGGGGACAGGTGGCTAACAGGGTGCAGGGGGAAGAGGGGTCCTGGGGGCCCCGCGTCCCAGCCCCGGCCGGCCGGCGGCCCTTTCCCCCTAGCCCAGTACCTGCTGACCCTGCTGGAGGCCGACGGCGGCCCGCCGGGGCTGGAGGACGGCGACTTGACGCGGGCCGCGGCTCCGGGCATCTTCGCTGAAGCCTGCAACAACGCCAGCTACGTGGAGGTGAGGCCGGCTCCCTGCTCCCGGGCGTGGGGAGCGCGCTGGCCAGGGACGCGGTGCCTGGGAGCCGTGGACACAGCCCGGCAGCGTCCCCGGGCTCTGCAGGGAGGCCCCCAGGCCAGCGTAGACGCCCTGCTGCCGCGCCTCTAATCGCGGCCCGCCCTGCAGGTGTGGAACGACTTCATGAACCGCTCCGGCGAGGAGCAGGAGCGGGTGCTGCGCTACCTGGACGGCGACGGCCAGAGCAAGGCGCGGAGGAGGGGGCCGGGTCGCGGGGAGGACCGGCGGAGAGGTGCGCCGGGTTCCTGTGGGCGCGGCCTGGGCGTGGGCGGGGCCTGTTTGTGCGTGGGCGGGGCCTGTTTGTGTGTGGGCGCGGCCTGGGCGTGGGCGGGGCCTGTTTGTGTGTGGGCGGGGCCTGTTTGTGTGTGGGCGCGGCCTGGGCGTGGGCGGGGCCTGTTTGTGCGTGGGCGGGGCCTGTTTGTGCGTGGGTGCGGCCTGGGCGTGGGCGGGGCCTGTTTGTGCGTGGGCGGGGCCTGTTTGTGCGTGGGGGGGCCTGTTTGTGCGTGGGCGGGGCCTGTTTGTGTGTGGGTGCGGCCTGGGCGTGGGCGGGGCCTGTTTGTATGTGGGTGCGGCGTGGGCGGGGCCTGTTTGTGCGTGGGCGGGGCCTGTTTGTGCGTGGGTGCGGCCTGGGCGTGGGCGGGGCCTGTTTGTGCGTGGGCGGGTCCTGTTTGTGTGTGGGCGGGCCAGGCTGGCGTGGGGGGGCTGCGTCATGGCCGCCACGCCCTGGCGTGTTGCAGAGGACCCGGCCTACACTGCCCGCGAGTGCTTCCAGCGCATCAGCCGGCGCCTGCGCGCGGTGCTCAAGCGGAGGCGCATCCCGATGGTGAGTGCGCGGCCTCTCCTGCACCTGCGCGGTGCTGGTGCCGGGGCGGCCGGGGGCGGCCCCCCCCCCCGGGAGGGGAGGGTCAGCGCAGCGTGAGCCGGGCCGCGGCTGACCCCCGTGCCGTCCGCAGGAGACGCTGGAGGCCTGGGAGGAGCGGCTGCTGCGGTTCTTCTCAGTGTCGCCGCAGGCGGTGTACACGGCCATGCTGGACGACAGGTGAGGGGGGGGCGCTGGGGCTGCCCTGCGCGCCTGGCCTCGGCCCTCACGCGGCCTCCTCCACAGCTTCGAGAGGCTGCTGCTGCACGCCGTCTGCCAGTACATGGACCTCATCTCGGCCAGTAAGTGGCCCCCCCGACCGGCCGGGGGCGGGCAGGGCACGCAGGACCTCGGAGCTCCCGGGGAGCCTGGCGCTGCGCGGTGCCGCTGCGGACACAAGCGCCCCGCGCGCCGGCGCTGCGGGAGATGGAGCCGGGCCTTAGCGGCCCCCGGGGGGGGTGTGTGTGTGTGGCGGCTCCCAGATGCGCAGGCGCCCCCTCCCGAGGGCCTGGGTCCTTATCTCACGCAGGGGGCTGGCCCCAGGTGCCCGGCTGGTCCTGCTGCCCACACCTGCCTCTCGCCCGCGGTTGCCGTGGAGACGGTTTCCACGGCAACCCCGGGCCGGCTCCTCCCCTGTCTGCGGGAGCCCCGCCTGCCTTTGTTCCCCGAGTTTGGGGGGCTTCTCTGCGGGCTCCGAGCTGTGGCCTGGGCGGGGGAGGGGGGGACTCTGGCACTGAGCTGGGGCGGGTGGGGGGGCTGGGCTGCTGCGGCGGGGGTCCCTCCTGGTTCATAGGCGAAGGCGGCCGGACACTCGTGGCCAGGCTCCGGGCTGCAGCGGCCCGTGCAGCGGCCACCCGCGAGCCCCTCTGCTCCTCCACAGGTGCCGACCTGGAGGGCAGGCGGCAGATGAGAGTGAGCAACCGGCACCTGGACTTCCTGCCCCCGGGGCTGCTCCTGTCCGCCTACCTGGAGCAGCACAGCTGATGGCGGCCCGCCGAGACCGCCTCGCCCTGTTTTTAGATTCTGTCCTGGACGCCTGCCCCTCCTGCCCTGCCCCGCCCCGCCCCGCCGCTCCTGCCCTGGGACTTGTATTTGGGCGAGGAGGCCGGGCCTGGGCACCTCCACTTCTTTCAGTTTTCTCTGGCCCTGTCGGAAGCCCTACCAGGGGAGGGAGGCTGAGTTTTATCCCTTTAATGCATTTGTCGTGATGTGCTGTAGGGTTTTAAATTTCCCTGTGGGTGGGGAAAGCCGCACCCCTGCCCCAGCCCTGGCTTGGCCGTCCCTGCCTCTCACTTGGCTGGGGGTGGGGCGCATCCCCAGGACCTGGCCCCTTGCCCCATGAGCAGTTTGTCGTGCGTGTGTGCGCACACGCGTGTCCATGCGTGTGCCCCGGGACCCAGGACAGAGGCTTTGTCCTGCGGGCCGGTTTTATGCGTTTTGTCCTCCGTGTGTGTGTGTGTGTGTGTGTGTGTGTGTGTCCCCACCGCGGGCCCCCCTGCTCTCCACCCCGCTGCCCCCTCACTGAGGTCCAGGACTTCCGGCCAGAAGCCGCTGCCCTCGGTGTCCCCCGCCCCCTGCCTGGCCCCGCCCCCTGCGCGGAGCTGGCCTGCACCCCTGTCCCCCGCGTGTGGCTTGTGCTTTGGGGAATGGGAAGGGTTTAATAAATTTCTGGTGCTCTGGCCTTGGGCTGTGGCAGATGCTTCTTTGGGTGGGGCTGGGACCCCCCCCCCCCGGCTCAGCCCCTCTCAGCTGCCCGGGTTCCCGTGGACGGGGCATCAGCGGCTGGAGTGACTGCAGGTGGCCACAGACACCCCCGGCGGCCTCACTGCTGGGCTGGCTTTGGCTCCTTCCTCGGCTGAAAGTTGTATATTTATTATCATTTTACATGAAAGGCACAGTTACACGGGGCGGGGCGGGGGGATCTTCATCTAAGAACAGTGACGGCCAGGGCTGGCCCAGGCTGAAGCCAGGAGCCGGGAGCGCCACCCAGGTCTCCCCCGTGCGTGCAGGGGCCCTGGCACCTCTCCGTCACTGCCGCCTTCCCGGGCCGTTAGCAGGGAGCTGGGCTGGAAGGGGAGCAGCCGGGGTGCCCGGGGTGGCCACTCAGACCTCCAGGGACCGTCCGTGAAGCCCCCTGCCCAGTTCTCAGCCACGGCAGAGGGCCTGCTGGACCCAGGCGTAGCCCAGCAGCTGAGCCTGACCTCGCTCCCTGCTATGCACACCTGGGAGGCGGCAGTGCCCGCTCGAGTGCTGGGGGCCCTGCACCCACGTGGGGAACCCGGGTGGAGTCCAGGGCTCCTGCTTGGCCCAGCCCCGGAGTGAACCAGCCGATGGGAGATCTGTCCCCCTCTCCCCCTCTCCCCCTCCCCACGGCCCCTGCCTATCAAATAGGTAAGGGAAACAAAGTCACAGCGCTGCTGCGGGCAGAGCTGCGGCGACCGTGGCCCCGCCGGGCCCACCTGTGAGCCGTGGCGCTGCACCGCGGGAGCTCCGTGTCCCGGGGTGCGTCTGCTATGCTGTGGGTTCAGTGCCCTTTGGTCGCGGGCCGCCTTCTCACCTGCTCCGGTGTGTGCCAGAGGGCAGGAGCAGGGCGTGGGCTGCAGAGCGGACGGCGTAGACCCCCGGGACCCCGCGCTCACCGCCCAGTCACGCACACCCTGCGTGGGCATTCACGCGCGACGGCTGCGGCTCCACGCGGACCGGGCCGGCTCCTCCTGCACGCTGTTCGTGGAAAGGGGTAGCAAAATATGGAACGCTTCACGAATTTGCGTGTCATCCTTGCGCAGGGGCCATGCTAATCTTCTCTGTATCGTTCCAATTTTAGTATATGTGCTGCCGAAGCGAGCACGAACGACCGCTATCCTGGACAAGTATTTAAGGTGCCGAGAAATCTTGTCTTTACGATAAGGGTGAATTTTCTTGCGACAACTTTGTGGGGCACTCGTGCTCTTTACTGTGTTAGGACAGTATATGTTCTAATGAGGTGTAGTTTTTAATCGACGTTAGGGAAATATTTCTGTTTTATATGAGACACACGAACGGAGGCTGCCGGGAACCTAATAGGACTATGCAAATAAGCCCGGAAGCTGGGCGGAGCCGGAGCCGCCGCCGTCCCATAAGCCTGCGGGAAGCGGCGGCGCGGCTTGGGCGACTCGTTGGTCCGGGAAGATGGCGGCGCCGGAGCCGCGGCGTTAGGGCGAGTGCGGGCCGCAGCCGTGCCCTCGGCTCCACGCTCGGGCCAGCCAGGTGAGCGCGGGGCTCGTGGGAGGGCCCGGCGGCGGCGGCGGCGGCCAGCCGGCCTCGGGACGACGTCCGCGACCCCGGGGACAGCGGCGCGGGGAAGGCAGGGGCGGGGCCTCCGGGGTCAGGGGGCGGGCCCGAGCGCAAAGGCTTCTGGGCGCGCGGCCCGGCGCGACGTGGGGGAGCCCGGGCGCTGCGCGGAAATTGAGGCGAAGTCCGCGGCCGAAGCGGGGCGGCGGGACCGGGGGCGGAGCCTGAGGCGAGCTGGGGGCGGGGCTGCCTGGCTCGGGGGCGGGGCTGCCTGGCTCGGGGGCGGGGCCCGCAGACGGGGGGGGGGGTCCCTGGGGTTGGGCCTGAGACCCTGGGGCTGGATGTCGGGACGGTCGCGGCGTGGGCTCGCGGGGTGCCGGGGCGGAGCTGAGGGGTCGGGGTGGGCGTGGGCTCGCGGGGTGCCTGGGGCGGAGCTGAGGGGTCGTGGTGGGCGTGGGCTCGCGGGGTGCCTGGGGCGGAGCTGGGGGGTCGGGGTGGGGTGGGCGTGGGCTCGCGGGGTGCCGGGGCGGAGCTGGGGGGTCGGGTGGGGTGGGCGTGGGCTCGCGGGGTGCCGGGGCGGAGCTGAGGGGTCGTGGTGGGCGTGGGCTCGCGGGGTGCCTGGGGCGGAGCTGGGGGGTCGGGGTGGGCGTGGGCTCGCGGGGTGCCTGGGGCGGAGCTGAGGGGTCGGGGTGGGCGTGGGCTCGCGGGGTGCCTGGGGCGGAGCTGGGGGGTCGGGGTGGGGTGGGCGTGGGCTCGCGGGGTGCCTGGGGCGGAGCTGGGGGGTCGGGGTGGGGTGGGCTCGCGGGGTGCCTGGGGCGGAGCTGGGGGGTTGGGGTGGGCGTGGGCTCGCGGGGTGCCTGGGGCGGAGCTGGGGGGTCGGGGTGGGGTGGGCGTGGGCTCGCGGGGTGCCTGGGGCGGAGCTGGGGGGTCGGGGTGGGGTGGGCTCGCGGGGTGCCGGGGCGTGGGCTCGCGGGGTGCCGGGGCGGAGCTGAGGGGTCGGGGTGGGGTGGGCTCGCGGGTGCCTGGGGCGGAGCTGGGGGGTCGGGGTGGGGTGGGCTCGCGGGTGCCTGGGGCGGAGCTGGGGGGTCGGGGTGGGGTGGGCTAGGGTGGGCGTGGGCTCCCGGGGTGCCTGGGGCGGAGGGGTGGGCCCACGTCGATGGAGCCCCTTCTCTTTGGAGCCGCCAGGGGCGCCGGCGCTCGCCGCTGTGGTCACTCTGGGCCCTCCGCAGGCCCGGGCCCAGCCTGGGGGACCGCGCGGCCCTGGGCGCCCCCTGCCGCCCCATCCTCGCTCCCCGGACCAAGCACATCTGCGGGGTCCTGTGGAGACCTGGGGGTGCTGGCCCGCGCCCCAGCCGCCCGGCCCCTCCTGGAGTCCCCGTGTGGACGCCAGCGTCGCGGAGGACGGGCGTGGCCTCGTGTGTTTAAGCCCCCCTATGCCCCCCCCCCAGCACTGGGCCGTGTCAGTGACGAGCCCCCCGGGCCTGCGGCGGGATGGACCTGGCCTACGTCTGTGAGTGGGAGAAATGGCCCAAGACCACGCACTGCCCCTCGGTGCCCCTGGCCTGCGCCTGGTCCTGCCGCAACCTCATCGCCTTCACCACAGACGTGCGGAACGAGGACCAGGGTGCGCCCCCCACTGCCCTCTCTCCCCGCGTGTCCCCCACCTGTCCCCGCCCCCCGTGTCCCCGTCCTGCTCCCACCTGGCCCCGCCCCCCATGACCCCACCTGGCCCCGCCCCCCGTGTCCCCGCCCGGCCCCCACCTGTCCCCGCCCCCCGTGTCCCCGCCCGGCCCCCACCTGGCCCCGCCCCCCGTGTCCCCGTCCTGCCCCACCTGGCCCCGCCCCCCGTGTCCCCGTCCTGCCCCAC